GGGGGGGGGGGGGGGGGAGGCTGAGTAGAGATGGTTCTCTGCCTGCTCCGCTCCACCCGCCCGGTCTGTTGCGCCCATCGTATTGATTAATCTTTGGTGGTCGGACTGCGTTGGCAAGCGCAGCTGAGCGCAGCGCCACGCGAGGCGCGCGCCGCTCCGTGGTGCGTCCCAGTCCCTTCGCGGTGAAAAATGCGGGTGGAAACGCGGCGCACGCGCCAAGCAGGCTCCCCCCGCGGGTTCAGACAGGGACCACCTGCAGTCTGTGACCCGCGCCCCGCGCCCCTCCATTAGGTGGGCCTATTACAAGCAGCGTCGACTTTTTGATTATTCCTACTGGGCCCAGGGCGAGAACTGCGGCTGTGTGTGTGTGTAGGTGTCAGTGTGTGTGTCTGTGTCAGAGAGAGACTCGATAATTGAAGATGAGCACAACATGACCCTCACCCACACCCAGTGAATGTCTCTACCACTGAAAGGTTTTCGAGCGCGTTCCTCGGGTTTTATAAAAAGGAAACAACTGAGTTATTTATTTATAATTTAAAATTTGTATATTTATCATCACAAACTTAAGGATATACATTACATAAGTCTGTAAGGAAGACTTTTGCTCTCTGTTGTAACCTACAGATGAAAAATTTACACATTAGAAATGCCTGACTAAACAGAGGTTCAGAGAGGTAGCGCCTGACTTTTGAACACATCACAACCAATTGCAAAAGTATCAAGACAGGAATGATACATTCACAACCAATAGTGTCCAACTTCCAGTGCATACGAAACAAGATGTTGGAGATAAAACAACCAATAGTTAAAGTTATTACGTCAACACATTACCCGAAGTGTCTCAGCTCAAACAAAACCTCCGTAGAACACAACTGAATTTTATAAACTGGGACAATACTTGAATAATATTGAAATTCATACACGGGCATTAGTATTGAGCAACTCAGAACAACTGAGTTAAATTTCCTATGGAGACATTTGTTAAATTTGATTAAATGCTTACTATGGACATTAGATCACTAGAAAATTGTTCAATACAAAGATGTGATGTAATGTTAACAAATATTAAAACAGCAAACTTTAATAGTGTAACTGTCATAAATATATTTGGTCTTTATACAAACGAATAACTCCTGCATCCACACTACAGTACCTAAATTCATTTCCATAAAAGAATAGCCCCCCCAAGAAAAAACAATTGCTTGCTGACCTCATTCAGAATATATGTATGGGAAAACAGAATAAATTTTGTCAAAGACCTGTCATTGTACTTGTTTTGGTCAACAAAGAAGGCTTGTTCATTTAACTGCACAAAGAGAATATCAAAATCAGTTGCTGAAACCAGCATCAAGAAATGAGCACAAGTCACAACCAATACAACCAACAAAAGCCCTGGAAAAGTAGGCTAATTATAGCTGCAATTCTAGCTGCCTGATATATTACAGATCAAAATGGGTGCAACATTCAAGAAACACATTAAAAATTTAAACCAGAAATGGATGACCAGGTTAACAGGCAAAGTATGATTTTGATGTGTTACCAGACAGCCCTCCACTTGCATTTACTTCAATACAATTCTATAGTCTCATGATATGCATGCATAACCCTGAAGTCCAAAGGGAAAAAATGATTTCTGAGAGGGAGATACATACATTAGAAAATTGGAGTAATGTAACAGTCAAAGTTGAAGTAGGACAATAGGAAAATACAAAAATAAAATATATTAGATGTTATTTAAAAAGAAAAAGCTGCCAAAAATAGAAACCACAATCCACCCTTCTCCACCAATGTCAAAACTGATACTGTGCTCACAGGGTATGCACACACTAAAAAGTAAGACCTAAACAAGTCACATAATCTGTCCGTGTCTGTCTAAAAGTTTTCATTTCAAGGTTAGAATTATCACCACCAGCACTAGATAACAACATATAAATATATATGTATATATATATATTTTATGCACATTTTATATATTTTTATAAACAATGAATCACTTGGGTAGAACAAAGCTTTTCCTCTGGGAGGTTCCACAGCAACATACACCACCACTGGATGAAAGTAAAATGGTGGTGTGAATGGATGGTAAATGATAGGATGCAAATAGCTGCAAAAATTTACCATAGCATTCACAGAACCTTTAAATGAGTAGGGTAAAAAAAAAATTAACGGTAAAAAGAATTTTAACAGTGATGTGACAGAAAAATTCAACAAATTAAAACAACTGATTAGAATTGAAAATTTTGCATTTGTGAAGTGATTTACCCAGACTATCCTGCCTCTCAACACCAGTGCTTGTTAAAAACCAGTCATTGTCATGAACAAGGTAAATTAATATCTCAATGGTAGTAGGTACAATGATTTCACTTCAGTCACAGTTGCAAAATCACAGCAACCTCCTTATAATAGTATAAGCTGACAAGAGCTTTTCTACTTGTCCTTGAACACAACACAATAGATCCTTAAATTTCACTGACATTAACCATTAAATATTGTGCTCTTTCTCAAAATCTACTAAGTGCACTTGTATCGACAATATTCAGTTGTACTTCAGTCATCAGTCCCTTTGTTCATTCAAAATATGGATGTACAGAAATAGTCAGAAAGTTGTTGAAGTCATCAACAATTTCAAAATAAATTACTGTATTGCACAAATACCTCATCAGCATTGGAAGAAAGTGTAGGTACATGCTGAACCATGGATACCCCTTAATGCCACCAAGTGTGGCACTGCTCTCAAATAGTACTATTCTAAATAACCTTTCTCTCATCTAAGGAAAACCAATTTGTAACATATTCACAATGAAGAATTGTGATATTAATTCACAGTGCCATTAAACCGGTTTACACAGCCGCAACAAATATAATTTCATACCCGATAAAGATAAAGCAAATTGCCAAGCACATGAGTGTTAGATATGAGAGTGTGTGAGGTCACTTCATAGCAACACAAGAAAAAGCTTGACTTCCTCCCAGAAAATAGGCACAAGACCAACACATAAAAAGGAAGCAAAACTTCTTTCAGTGTAAAACACATCATAGGTAACACTGGATATTGTTAGCAATATTTCTGCATAAGTAAGCAAAACAATAACTCGACGTCCATTACTAAATAATAGCAGATCATAAAAGCTGCGAGTAAAAATAGAAAAAGACAAGTTTTTAAAAAAAGAAGAAAAAAGAGACTAAAAGTAATGGTAATAAGACTTACAGACACAAACTTCAGGGTAAAGAATAAAAAAAATTGGGATTATTATAAACTACCTAGGGTACAGTAATTAGACACCAGATAATATCAACATTTTCCACATTGATTGTCAGAACTGCTGGAACAGTCTAAAAGGATATAAAATCATACATAATCGTATCAAAACTAAATTTGTGACTCAAATATTCAAGCTATGACTTGAATTAGGCTAACATTTAACTCCAAATTTTTTCCACAGAACTGTAATCCTCAACAAAAAAGATTCTTATCACGCATGGCTCCCAACATGACAACAAACGATCCACCACAGAAAGTATAAAAAAAAGTATATCTGGCAAGAAATTCACATTAATATTTAGTGCAAAAAGTAGAGAAAAAAGACAATTCAGAAAGGGGCCTGTCCTTTGATATGCTTGATTTAGTGTCTTCTCACAGATCTTGTCAAAAATTAATAAAAATGGCTCTTAAATTTCAAAATTGTCTAAAAGTTTTACATGTGAATTGTGGCTGCTGTGTAGCGTGCTTCGCCGCGTCTCCAACTCCATGTACTTGGACGGTACTGAAATTTTTCAAAAAAAAAAAAAAGATAAAACAATAATAAAAGCAATGTTTTAAAAAAACAATAAAAAATCAGTGGCTAAAATTTACATGAATAATTTAGTATATAATTGAACCTACCCTTATAAGCCATTGTCCAGATGTACTGTGGGGATGCCTGTATGCATACAAGACCCACAAACCAATGCTGCAGACAAGCACAACAAGGAGAAGAATTCCAACAACACCAGACATGCTCACACCTACTTCATCTGAAACCAAGAAGGAGCACCAGTTTTACATTGATGTAGATCATCAAAAGAATTAAAAAAAACTAGAACCATTCCTACCTGCCACTTGTTCTTGGCTCGCATCGATCCGCACATCTTGAGACTGCTTGGCTGCTTTGCTGTGAGGAATGGGCTCTTCTATTTCATGAACATGATTGGTGTCAGGTATAATTACTTCGTCATCAGTGCATTGATCACTTCGCTGCTTAACTTTTCCAGCATTCGCATCAGTGGGTTCACAACCCTTCAGAAGCCAATCCTGACGGTATCTATCCATACCATTGGAACAGCGGCGAGCACTTGGGCACCAGTTACACTGGAAATTTAGAAGATTGTAAGCACGAATGATCCAAGAATTCAGTCAAGCAGAGTCTTTCAATATAAAATGACTTTATTACCTCAAAGTTGGTGATTTTTGTGAGACATGAAGTGCAATCTTTCATATCAAGGCATGTTGGAAGGGCACGGAGGTAGATGACTGTGCCATTCTGAATATTGGCAAAGTTGACACGGTGATATTCGTAGATTGTTTTACGTCTCACAACTGAAAAGATAAATAAAGGGAAAGTCGATATATAGCAACCTTTTTGAATCAACACTTAGATTCGATTTTTACAAATAAGATATGTGAAACATACAGAAGATAGTGCGGTCGATGATGTAAGCATCAGAGAGACCCACTTTCACAGGGTGGTTGTCATCTTTGATTTTGTCAATATCAACTGGTACATTTTTGTATACAAAAACTATGTCTCCAGTTTTGTGCAGTGTCACTTGAAATGAGAAGTTTCCTTGAGTAGGTCGGTCCTGAAGCACAACCTTGCACCATTCGACAGTAAATGCAGTACCTACAGAGAAAAAAATACAACTCAAACCAGACACTCATTTTAACCACTTCTTGAGGCCATTTACTCACCACTGATTCCAAATAAGAGAGCATAGAGGTTAGAATTTAAATTCAGAAAGATAAGGTAGATATTAAATAACTAGATTAAAGAACAACAACAAGAAGTAAACCTACCATTGTCAACATATTTGACAAAAGAATCTTTGGAGATACTAGTGTCAAAGTTGGCCATGAGAGGAGCGATGTATTGGGTAGCAGCAAGCCAACTGTGCACATATTCGCCAGTATATAAAAAGCCTCCTGTGGCAATTGTAACATTTTTCACCAAGTGTCCGTAAAAGGGAAAGTCAAACGTCAAAGCTACAGTCTGAAATTGGAAGAGGTAAATTAATGATACAATTTATCTTTGAAAATATGATTAATTATTCAGAGCTAAAACTTTAAATGCTTACAGCAGCTCTACGATGTGCTTGAGACAGCATGTTATTAGTTATTGCCTTTGGCTGAGAGTCCATATCCACCCAATATGGTGACAAGTCTTGGATTAAGTACAATGAGCTGTTATAGTAGGTGTGATGATCCTAATAGAGCAAAAGTAAAACCAGAAGTAAAATCACTACACGTTTGCAAACAAAAATTAACATGAAGAAAGAGTAAAGCCATACCTCTGTTTTGTTTTTAACATGTTGCTGAGCCAGGGTAGTATTGGTTATTTCGTCAGGAAACACATCAGACTCGAGAACCTCACCATCATGGGTATCATCGTGCTCTATTGAATGGCCGCTGTTGGGCCACTTTGCAGCAGAAGAGGACTCCCTTGTTGGAGATGGCTTTTCAGCAGTAACATTTTTCACAGAAGGGCTGGCAACTGGAAGATAAAGGAGTGAATTAAAATGAATGTATTCACAATGGTCAACTGAAAGACCAACCAATACAAGTTTCAATCACAATTTCTTACCAGTTATTGGGCTGCTGGTAGATGAAGCTGGACTTGATGTTGGGTCCTTTGTCTCCACACTAATTGACGCCACTGCTTTAGGTGAGCTGGGAGATTTTCCAGTTTTTTTATCAGGGTATACACCTGAATTAAGGAGGGAACAAATGAACTATAGTGCAGCATATTACAAAAATGAAAGAAGAATTGGTCATGCAAGAAATCTTACCACTGATGGGACTGGGGCCATCAAATTTGCTGGGTTTCCCACTACCTGTAGTGGTAGTGTTAAAGCCGCTTTGTACCTTCTTAGGAGGACCATTAGCTTTCGTCTTGTCATCATCTTCAACACTGACAGGGCTTGAAGAATTCACATCTGGTCTTAACTGTCTTTTAAGTCTCACGTTATTACCAGTGTCCACAAAAACCATGTCTGGTAAAAAACTGTCTTCATTGTCTACTTTAGATTGGGCATCTACGAGTTCATACGAAACAAAATCATCGTCTGCAAAAAAGGATAAAAATATACTTATATACATGAGTTTCAAATTCCAGCTGATGAATTTTAAACTTAGAAGCACATTACATGTGGCAATTAAATTGATTCAGGTTCAGTGGGGAAAAGGTCTGCCTCATGATTTATTTGATAAGTCATATGACTGTAAGAAAAGCCCTCTGAAGAAATATCAAGGAGAGCTTCTTATCTTGTTTGTTCACACGAATGATTCACGTTTTGAGGTTAATGGTCAGGCGCAGTACGGATTTCCCACAAGATATTTCAAACTACTTTTCATCGAAAACGCTACTTGGCAGAGATAAGAAAAACTATCCAGGGAATTTCGAAAAACATTGCTGATTATACGACACAAGGGAACAAAAATAAAAAGGGCTCACACGTACTATGGAAGCAATGTCCTTGATATGGATCTACAGGTACCTACTGCAGGCAAATGCTAACACCGCAAATAAGAGAACAGTACAAAACAATATACTTAAAAGACAATGCTTACTTAAAATTGCAGAACCATGGGCACAGTAGACAAATAGTACCAGTATTAGGCATAATCGTTGAATAATTGATGAAGTTCTAAACGCCATTTTCGGATGATATCAAGGAAGTACACTTGTTGATATCCTCCTCATAAATTGGTACTGCTATTCCGTTTCTTCATATGAACATCTTTCACAACATTGCACACAACAATTTTCTTCCTTGTACAGTTTTTTAAATTTAAATTACGACGGAAAGTCTTTGGTTCTGTTAAAATTTAGTCTACCAGCAGGCACAGCACACAGGAATAACACTGGCCTTTGTTACTAAACATGTTGCATGAACGATTGCACGGCCTTCTGGATTCCATCTGCTTCATCGTCATGGCTTTCCCGATTCCTACTCGACCTGTTTTGATCTTGTTGTTTTTTCATTGTTTCTGCTACTAAAATGGTGGCGTACTTTTGTGATTGTGTTCACTGTCACCCTAATTTATGTCAGGCGATAGGCGTGTGATGATAACTTGATGCCCATCCATCATTACCTCTTATATCTCCATAATGGAGGTTGCTCCAGATGGAAACAGTGATAAGAGGCGAATTTTAAGTGAATTATCAAAGTGCCTGAAAACGGTAAGACTCTTTTTAACCTAGAATATTTGACAGAAGGTACGCCTTTGGTTTCCTTTGTTTGAGGTTCCGATTCTTATTTTGCTGTATAGCTCAATCAGACATTCTGCTCTGTGTCACTTCTAATTTGTTATCATATAAAAAGCAAAAGAGTCAAAGTCTAGGAATCTATGTATTATAACAGGAACCCTGTTGTCATTTGTTTGGAAACAATAAGGCGCACTATATGTAGTCATAAAAACTGAAACAGATCTAAATGATCTCTTGTATGATTGATTCTCCTCAAAAATTTGTTATTTCTTTTTTCCCCGCTCACCTTCCTCCTATTTCTTTTTCTTAAAGGTGTACATTGAAGCTTCAACACATGACAGCTCCCAACTTAATCTCAACTCAGCTCTCATCCACTGCATTGATCGATCATTCCAACATGGACTTCTCAATCTTGTGCAAAGTTACTGGCCTCTGGTGCGAAGCATAAGTCATGCTCAAACTCTGCAGACTATAGATGGTTGGGTTGGCTCTCAGAGCTCCAATCGCACTAAGAGTAAGAAACACTTATTACCTTTGCAATAGCAAGAAAAAAATTATCTTTAAAGAATTCATCACATTTCTTTTGATTTCAGGTCAAGCATGGTTGCTGGCAACCTTAGTTGAAGGATCGTTATTAAGTTATCTACAGTGTATACTTGTAGAGCCCAGATTAATTAGTCGCCTCTACGCAGAACATGCCATTTTATGTGACCCATCCTGTGTCACGCAACTCTCTTCACTACTATTGGGTTTAGAAAGTATAAACTTCACAATCGAAGTAAGTTAATTGCTAGATTAAGATCTGCAGGGTATCAAGGACGTTAAAAATCAAATTTCAATCCAATTATTTACAGCCTGGAGTGGAGTCTAAAAATAATTCTATTGCTGACTTGAACTTATGTCTTGGTTTGGAAGAAACCTCTACTCTTATGAAGCCAGTGTTAGATTTACCTTTGACTGGAAATAATGGAGCGACAGGAGTATGTATGACTTCGTCTATGACTTCTTCATTAGCTTCTCCTGGTGACTCAGGTTTCACACAACTTGACAGTGAGACAGATACTGCTTCATTTAGTGAAGTTATGTTGGATGCTGATTCTGGTAGTGTGAAAGAGGTAAGTTACCAGTCTGATTGTTTTTACTTTTAACTTTAAGTTATAGTATTATGAATATTATTTTGGTCTCTGCTCCTAGGAAGTAGCTGTGTTACCTGTGGATCCCTGTGTTGAAAAGACTGTAGGCATTTCAAGCCCTTTTGTGCCTATGACAGTCAGTGATATAGCAAATGCAAATACTTCCTCAGAATTCCCCAATGAAAAAAGTAACTCTGGAAATGCTACTGATACTTTTACAGATTGTGTGTCACTTGATAATCCTGATGATAATATTGTATGTAAATACCCAAAGAACATAGCCAGAAAATCATCTAACCAAAAGAGAGTTTCTTTCCATGAATGCTTTCCAGACTCCTCTCTAAGTTGTAATGATGTCAGAGAAAATTGCTTTGCTGAAAAAAGTGGGGTGTTTCATTCTTCATTCATGGACAAGGATTCAGTTTCAAGCTTCTCTCGTACCGTTGGTGATCTGTCATCATTTGAAAACGAGCAAGAAGGGGTAGAAATTGCCAAGGATTCTTCCATCCTTGAGAATGATGGCATTGATGAACTTTCTAGAGGAAAGCTGAGTCATTCCTTGGTATCTGCAGAGGGTGCTTCAATTGTTGGGAGTTCTGTGAACGCTGTGAAATCTGTGATATTTGGTCAAATTAGTCGACATATTGGCCAGAAGACACCAGTGACTGAAAGAGGAAACCCAGAAGGCCAAGAAGATCCTCCTCTTAAATGTTCTTATACAACACCCACAAAGCAGCTGTCTCTTACGGCTTATGAAAGTTTAAGAACATCAGTTAACTCCTCTCCAGGTATAGAATTGGGTAGTATTCATAAAATATTATTAATGTTAAGTTGCTTTAAACCACACGTCACATCGAGTCTTTCTGTACAGCTCCAAGCATCTCAAGTTTAAGACCTCAGGTCAGCACACCTCGGCGAACAAGTATGAATAGTGGCTCAAACACCAATGGACTTTTAAATCTCTCTGCCTCAAGCGTGCTGAGTCAGCCACCATCGAAAGCTTGTCTTGTAAATCGGTTTCTTCGCTCTATAACAGAAAAAAAGATATCCAGCTGTCGGTCTTCCGCGGCATTGGCTGCACTTAATAAAAATAAGTCATCAAGGTTGTTAGTTCTATCAGTTGTCCATCAAATGTAACCATCTATTCACAACTATTTTCTTGTGTGGACTTAAGGTTTGCCTCTTTTTTAGGAAACTGAATCTTTACATTCCTGGAGTGAAGGCTGCAAATGAACTGTCTCAAGATCTACTTTATGAATTGAAAGAAGAGGTCAATAATTTCACCTTTGTGCCCTCTACCAGTATGTCTACTTTACATCTTGTAGATATATCTCCAGCTCTAGACAAAACCCTGTATTCCCATTTAGGATTGCCTGCCAGTGAAAAAATATCCAAGGTAATTGAATGTTGTGCAAAAATTATGTACAGTATTTGTTACTCATTGGAATAAATACTATAGTTTAACAAGCATACTTTTAATTTGCAGGTGCTAAAAGTTTGGGGCACTTCAAGTACTGAAAGTGGGAAAAGGGCACCATTTCTGGCTATTTTAACAGATCAGGCACTCTATGTGGCTGATAAAAAAATAATAAAACATCATGTTATGATCCACTCTAATCTAACTACAGTTGTGGTAATTGCAATTGTGTTTTATTTTGTATGTCCCTCAAAATGAATACCACACTAACCCAATTTTTATTTTCAGGTGGGACCCAACTCTCAGTGGATATCACTGATTTCATCAGAAAAATCATTCCAAATAAATCTGGTTGTGGGTCAAAGTGAAAGTGTATCAGATCTAGTGTCTTGTATAGAGTTGTCACTACGACGTAAAGGTTCCAAAATGCTACCTGATGTGATTCATTTGATTTATGAGGAGTACTTCCGAGTTCCACAATGGATACCTATTTTAAAGGTGACTTGATTATTGTTTGCTGAGAATAATCCCACATTTTGTGTAAAAAAAATTACAATTATGTTTTTCTTATTTCTAGGGTGAAACGGTGGCTCATTTTTCTCTGGTTCATGCAATGGAGGGGACTCCGAATAATCCAAACCCTCATTTACTTGTGGACTTAAGGGCCTACTTTATGTATAAAGTAAACAGGGAACACCCAGAGTCTTCCTGGGAACCAGGATACTTTGTCTTAAAGTATGTATGAGATATCAAATTGTCATTCATAATTTATCTTGGTCCTAATGTTAACCTTAGTTTGAAATTAAAATATTAACATATTTGCCTTTTTAGGGACAGAATTTTATATGTATCACTTGATGAGGATTCACTACCACATTGCACTTTGAATTTGCACCAAGTTAAGTGCTGTTTTATCTCTTTACCCTCACGTCCACACACTATTGAAGTTGGTCATATGCACATAGCTGCTCCTGATGACTGTGTTGCTCAACTCTGGCTTACTGCTCTTGAAAAATCTTCGGAGGCAAGTATATTAAAGTCTCTAATTTTTTAAACAATTCATTAAAAACATCACTTTATTTTCATTACTGGTTTTCCTTTTTCCTCCAAGGTATTTGAGTCGAATATCTCAAGCCACCAATCAAACATTATCCAAAGCTCCCTGATTCTAACAGAAACTCGATTGATGTTGTTAAGCTCTCTAGGTATTCCTAGATATGATCTAGACAATCTAGCTAAACCTTTCCTAACAGCATTTGTGTCAGATATAACTTCATTGAGAATTGGAGATAAAGAAAGTTCTTGGTGTTTTGTGGTATGTTAAAGATTTACATAGTTGGACATGTGTATCAACCACAAGGTAATGAATTCTGCATTTTTTCAATTGTTATTTTTTATTTTCAGGAGTTTTCGTGCAGAGAGGTTTATGAATCTGACGGGGATTATTTGATTTTCTTTAGTACATATTATGAGAGGGAGGCCTTCAAAGAATGCCTCTGGAGGCTCAGTCCTGTTTTGAAGCAAGTGAGTATTTTACTTATCTGATTTTTTCAATTTGTCTCTGACAGACTTCCTAAAAGCATCTTTTGATTTTCTCCTCATAGAATACCTGTACATTGTCAAGCTTTGAAGCTGTACATTGCAATGGCATTGCTAATGACTTCATATCGGAATGGAATTTTTTAGATTGTATTACACATTAAAATGAAATGTTGACAACCAGCTTTAAGTCCTGACAAAAGGGACTTTGAGCTACTGAAATATTACTCATCAACACTGATAATTAGTGTGCATAACTATGGATTATTGTGACACATGCTAGGGTACTCATCATTGATTGATTGACTACTGTTGGCTGCTGCTGGCGGCACCAGATTGATACCTCTGTACTGTTGAATACTGAACTTTGAGTCATTGTTTAGAACTAGTGATGAAAGAAAGGCTTAAATTTGTCCTTTAAAAAATTATTAGATAAAATCTATTGCTTTGGTGAGGAGTCCTAGTTTTGTGGCTTCCTAGAATGTAGGCGGTTTGTAGTTTTCAAATTATGAAATGAAATTAGGAGCTTTTTGCTTTAAATTGACTATTGTTCATAGGAAAACATATTCCTTTTAAAAAATTGACACTGTTTTGTTTGTAATTTTTGTTGTTATAAAATTTGTGATTGTGAAACTGAAAGCCGATAGTCATCTCTCTGTGAGTTTTATTGTTTGACAACCAACAACCTATTTATTAAGTAAAACTAAGATCTTTCTCACAGATCACAGATTTAATTTCAAGAGGTAAAATGCAGGAACTAGTTGAAAGAATCAGTGAGAGCGGTTTGTATTTTCTCTCAGTGGAGTAGATTCATAAATGTATGTGATATTTGCGTGCTCTTAGCTCATATTAAAGCTACATTGATAAAATAGTTTACTATCTCTAAAAATAAAGGATGCTTTGTTGTAACCATTGTTGTCCACTTTAAGAAGTGGTAAGGACTGTGGCCTTGGATTTTGTATGGAATTTTTTTACCAATGATTACCTGAGTCGGAATGTACGCTGAACTGACTCTGGTGTAGTGCTTATCCTTAAGACTTTTAGATGCAATGTGTTTGTTTTACTTTTTATTACTCGCTGAGATAATTTATTCTAGATTGAAATTATTTCATAAACAAATGTACTCATCAGTCATTGTTTTGCTTTATCAGGTGATATCATTTTAGCAGATCCTTTGTCTAGTCAGACCCTACACGTATCTTTTTAAACTGTTTGAGAAAAATTTGTAGTGTTTAGTCCTATTGTTTTTTTGTTTTCTTTACTGTGTAGTTTCACTGTTACGTTATGCATGGTGTACTGTGCCTTGTTGCCGTGTTGGCTTCACAATACTCATGTATGCATGCAAATCTCATATTGTACAATATTGTTGCAAGTTTTATATTCAAGCAAACGTTTTGTTCTTAATGGAAAGTTTGTGGTGGATACTAGGAATGTATAGGAAAAACCTTGAGGGTAGAAAAGACTGTAATAAAAGACTGAAGCTGAATGGAAGATAGGTAAATTGATAAGTGGTTTGGATTTGTATTGAAAAGAACTGGTTTTGCTTTTCTTCCTGCATCTTGGGCACCTTCACCCTACCTCTAACTAAGTAGTGAAACCTCGTTTCAACGAGTTCATTGGTGCGCGGGAACGTTACGTTATTGGCCGGATTACGCACTTAAAAATGTAAGTTTCGGCAAAATTTTGATTTGTGTCCGCAATTGTTTTCGTTCAAATGAGGTTTCACTGTGCATATTGTGTTTATCAAAATAGATTACAATTATTTTCTACTCACATCTGCCCATTCTTATACATTAGATTTAGGTAATTATAAATTTTTTAGCTTGTTACCGTTAATTTATGGTGATGTGGATGTGAATTCATTAAATAGAATTACGTAAGCAAATATGCCACTTGTCTGTCTTGTTGATGTGAACCTCTTCCTTGATATCACAGTGAGCATCACAGGTTAGGTTTCTTAGATTTAGAAACATTTTGTCTTTTTTGATTTATTATTTCACTTATAAACAAGGAGGTTTGTGGGGGTTTGAATACAAAAAATTCATAGGGATCTCAATATAGAAGAATAGGGGATACAACATAGATGTAATATAATTATCACTCAGATAGTTAGCAACAAATAAATACAACTAAAGTTTTGATAACATTAAAACACTTTAAACGGGTTTGTAGTCGAGTTTTGATTCCAGCTTCTTGTTATCAGCCACTTTTCTTACAGCCTTCATGAAATCCTCCTGGATGACATACTCACGCTCTGCACGAATAGCAAAGACACCTGCTTCTGTACAAACATTACGAAGATCTGCACCGTTAAAGGTGTCTGACAGCTTCACCACAGCTTCATAATCTGTAGATTATAGAGGCAAGGCATAAGTAAAAATAATGAACAGCAATTCTTTATTTTCCAAGGTTCAGAAATTTCAACACTTACCGATGTCTCCATGTTTGGAAATGGGTGTGGCATGAATCTTGAGAATTTCAAGGCGTGCCTGCTCATTAGGCAGAGGGATCTCAATCTTACGGTCCAAACGACCTGGTCGCAAAAGGGCAGGATCTAAGGTGTCGGGTCGGTTGGTAGCCATGATCATTTTCACCTGTTGAAAATTCATGAGGTGATAGAGTAGAGAAATCAATCTTTTATTATTTCCTTGATATGTTTTGAAGAGAAGACCTCATACCTGTCCTAATGAGTCAAATCCATCCATTTGATTTAAGAGTTCCATCAAGGTTCTTTGAATTTCTCGGTCAGCAGATGTTCCCTCAGAAAACCGGCGACCACCTTAGGGGAATTTGAGTTTGAATTTAAGACAAATACTTCAAAAGACACTACTGATTACTATGCTTGATAGAAATTTACCGATTGCATCAATTTCGTCCATGAATATAATGCAAGGCTGATGGTCCCGAGCATAATTGAACATTTCCCGGATAAGACGAGCACTTTCACCAATATATTTGTCTACAATTGCGCTTGAAACCACCTGAGTAAAAAATAATAAAAATACTACATTAGGTATGTTTCTAAAAAGTTAAAAAAAAAAAAGAAAACATTCCGGAAGTAGAAAAATTATTACCTTCAGGAAATTAGCATCAAGCTGACTAGCTACAGCCCTGGCTAACAGTGTTTTTCCTGTTCCAGGGGGTCCATAAAGCAAACATCCCTTGGGAGGAGTGATACCCACTCTTTGGAAAAGTTCAGGGTTAAGTAGAGGAAGTTCTATAACCTGAGTGAAAATAGGCACATTAATTTTATGAATCTAGTTACTCCTGTTATGCAATAATGGATTGTAACTTGATAATTTACCTCACGGAGTTCGCGAATCTGTTCACTGAGACCACCAATAACTGAATATGTGACATCTCCAGGATCTTCATGAGACATGTTGTACACCAACGGATCAACTTCCCGAGGAAGATACCTCATTATGGTCAGAGTGGTCATATCTAATGCCACTCGAGTACCTGATTTAAGTTTATCCTTATCCAATTGGCGACGGCAGCCCACCACGTACCTTGGTCCATTGGTGGCTTTAACAATAACTAGAAAGGAGAATGACCAGAAAGTATAAAATAGAATTTTTTTGACTTACAATTTTAGATTAATAAATTCAGAACATCCTTACATTTGTCCTCTGTCAATTGCTTCAATACTTCTCCAACAATCTATTTAAAAGAGAAACAAAATAAGAGAATGTGTAGTTCAGTAATAACATGATACATTTTAAAGTATGGCTAAATGAACAGGATTACTACCAATAATAACAGAATTGACCACTGATAAAAGAGAGATTTTTTTTTGTTCTTACCTGCCCAACACTTTGCAGAGCCTTCAAATCATTTTCGGATTTGTCATACTGTTTGGTCAGCTCCTTAAGCTGCTCACGCACTGAAAAAACAAAAGTAAAATTCGTAACCTTGTGGGTGAAAACAAGCGGAAAGTTAAGTTATGAATAAAAACTGCGCACAACTCAAAGTAATCCTAAGAAATTATAAATTTTTCACCAATTACAAATATTTAATCAAATTTTACAAGTGGAAAGCGAGAAAAGATATTGAAATAGCTTATACTTCAGCCTCTTTTCTGGAAAATGAATGGAGAAAATATGACAGTGAGCTAACCTAACTACTGGCAATAGACAATGTCACTATACTGCACTAACTTAACGGAGGCAGAGCAACAAGATTATTGGAAAATTTTACGGAAAATGGCCTAGCCGAAAGGACGTAGCGTAAATTATCATGTTGGGATATTAAAAACATGAAGCTCAGATGAATCAGCAAAACTATGATACGAGGCACTTGTAAACATGGCAAATAAACTACAATACTAACTTTCTTTCAAACGACTTTCAATTTCTTTGTGTTCTAAAAGCTTCTTCCGATAGTCCTGAAGAGCCTTTTCTCTAACCGCGTCCGTGGCCATGTTGAAATTCTTAATTCAATCAAATTTACAGAAAACACCGCAAGCTGCACAAAATATCTTGAAGCAAGCACCAAGTGTCATGTCAACCCTCGAACTCGACTCCCAGAAAAAATCGAGTCATCGAAGGTCGAAAGCTGAAGTCGGTTGTATCGAAATCTCGAGGTTGACATGACACTTGTGTTGCGGAAATCCTCTGCACAGCTTGCGGCGTTTTTGGCGAGCCTTTAAAGAAAAATACGCGTTTTTAACTAATGAATTACGGATTAGGGACAGGGTGGCCGGGATGGCTTGACTCCATGATTCAATGAGTTTCATTGTCAGTACCACATTCACCAGTGAGGTGACGAGGAGATGTTTTCGGTATGTAGCAGGCTCCGTGCCGTGCGATAGTTTTTTGTAACGATTTCCATGTCTTCTCGTCCTCAAAACCTAGTCATTTATGCAGTGACCGTCATTCTTGAGGTTTGAGGACCAGGCGTTCAAGTGGAGGCTCTGGTCCCTCGATTTCCATCATGTTTCTTTAACGTGCACGAGGTGTGGGACATGTAGTTCTGAAGAGTGTGGACGGAGGCCAGGGCAACACAAGTTTCAAAATGGCCAGAGACTGGCCGGAGCCAGAGACTGAGCCCAAAGCTCCGGACAAGGCGGCAGTCGCCTCAGAAAAACCATGCGAAACTGCCGTCGCTGGAATGAAGAGCGAGAAAGACGTAGCCGAAGCCAGCGGGGCTTGTAAGCCTGTAAGTGAAGTGGAGCAGACGCCTCTCGCCACCGTCGAATCCCACCTTGTCCCAGCAGGCTCTGACGTTTTTTTTTCTTGCCTCTCCTCACGCAGCATTGCTGACGTTCTCTGGAAAATTTTGACTGAAATGGCCTCATTGCGCCCCCGTTGCGTCACGGAAGCTGCTTTGTATGCTTTGTTTATTTCCTTGCGCGTGGTACCAGCCTTTCGTTTTTCGGTGACGCCTATGTGACAGCGCATCGATCAGAGTCCCTCCAGCCTTGGAAATCGAGGCGAAATGCTTACTCTTTGATTCCATCTGCACTAATTGAGAATTCTCAATCATTAGTCGTTATCACTCGTTTTCCTCCCTCTCTAAGGTTTTTTCCATGTCTTTTGTTTATACCACAATCCTGGCTCCAGGCACTTGGGCTAAGGTTAGGTTAGGTCGCTGCTTGTGCAGAAATTCATTCATTCACCAAGGCACTTGCTACTGCTTGCTCAGGCTTTGTTTTTGATAGAGATATATTTACAGACCAGCTGCATGTTAACTTCTTTCATACTCATGGTGATCGTTTCTATATCTTATTGGTTTAAATTTCAGTTGTTCAATAATTCCCTTCTACGATTGCTGTTCAAGTGTATTTGCAGCTCTTCCCATTTACTGTGGGGCATTTTACAAATCTTTACTGATTCGCAAACTGCATTCATCCCGAATGGTGGTTGGCTTTAAAACCTCAACTCCAATTTTCTTATCTGAATATTGCACAATATTTCTCTGATATTGTTATCTTTTCTGTATAGATTGCCTAGAATAAGTTCGTGTTATCTGCATTTAGTAATGCACGCCCCTTTCCACTTTTAACAGGTATAAATTCATGTAAATGTTGACGTTGGATGCAGAGGCCACTAACGTTTAGTTTGTTTCGTTCCCGGATACTACCCCACCTTGTCCGGTAATGTGCATCTCACCCTGCGGTGCCCCGCGCCTTCCCCGCGCGCTGACACCTCGCGTTGTGCCACCTCAAGCGGTACTGGCCGGGCGTCAGCATTAACGCGTCTTGCTACGTAATACTCGTCTCCGTCGAGCATATGATCACTGGGCGCTAATAACGGATTTTCTCACCGGCTCTTCGCCGTTGCCCTTTCTATCATCAGCTGAGCGCCCCTCCCACTTTTTCTCCCTTGCCCGCCAGAGCCCTTGGGACTAATGCCCCTTCCCCCCTTCCCCTCGCTGTCTTCAGCTGGCCCTTTTGTCGAACGCCTTACTTTTGGCGTTTGGCGAAAGGTGGATTGGCACCTTTTGTGTTGCAAATGAAGCAGGTGCGACTGGGGATGGGGGGCGGGGTCGGGCGGGGCGGCCCTGGAGACGCGTGCAAGCGACGTCGCGTTGCGCCACGCCACCGCCACGCCCCAGAAGGCGCCTGCCGCGGCCGCACACACCTGTTCCCCTGGAGGCCTGTCCGCTCTGTCCAGCCAGCCCTGCAGGCGCAGCCGCGCAGCCCTGTGCGTAGGTCGTGTAGGTCGGCGCACCTGCCGCCCCCTGCATCCTACCCGGCCCCTCGCGACCTCGACGTCGACCTCCCGACTGGACGTCTCGTTAGTACGGACTCATTAGGCCGACGCGTCCCCGCTGCCCCGTTCTGTTCCGATTCCTCGTCTCGTCTGCCGCCCTGCTGTCCTGCTGTCCGGGGTGCAGCGCAAGGCTCGGGCACGACCCGTTGGGAGGTAGGCAATACAATGCGCGGGTGCGTTTTACTGCCTACCTCCCAGGCGCTGTCTCACCACGCGGTTCCTTTGGGCACTCGGGTTCTCGGACTACCAAGGTACGCGGACGAGTGAGGGGCAGCCCTAGTGCACCAGGATGCACCGCGTGCACTGTGCAATAACTGATATCTTCTTCAGAGACCCGTAACTAAACGTATCGTCTTTAAGTTACAGCCTGCATCAATGTATAAGCTTTGCTCCGTTTCGTCGCACTATCATAACGCAATTACTGCAATTACGTTGTACGGTATTTTGACGCATTCGATGAATGAGCTATCTTTGCGTCCTTCGTTGCTTGAGTTGAATCAATACAGTAAAATGTTTAATGATAACTTGTAGGAGTCCTCGGAGAAAATTAGTTACTTTGCTGTGACCTTATACCTCATATCCGTGTGTGAACCGTCACACGTTCCGTAACGTAACAAATCGTAAATGAAATTTGAGTTAAAGTTGCAACTAACGTTGGTACGCAGAATTGAGTTCAGTTACTGGTCTCCGTGGCCCGTGGCTGTCCGTCCAGCTGGGCTTGCGGCCGCTGGCGGCTGCTGTTCTCAGTCGGTGCCTGCGGCCGCTGTCTGCCGCTGTCGGCTGCTGTTCTCTCAGCCCTTGACCCGCTCGCAGCCGAGTGGCCGCACGTGAGCAGCACGCCCAATCAGCTGATGAGATGTAGGTCCTTTGCTCTGGTCGGTCACCTGGTCGCTTTTGAGGACCCCCCCCCC